CGATTTGTGAATCAAGAATCTGTCTCTGTATCCCTGAAAATAATCTCCCTATTGCTTACATGGTGCTGGTTTGGTATTTGCAGATTTTTGGCTTGATGGTAAACTGGTGGTTAACTATGCTTTTTCAATGGCATGGGGATGAGAATACTAAAGCCTCGTAAAGCACATTCTTTCTGCTGTTACATAACTGATGATGAGAGAAGCAGATATGAGCATTACCAACAAAGTCTTGAGTTGTTTCACGGTGGCGATAGATCCTCGCTTTGTTGGGAAGATGACTTTCAGATGGAAGCTTCTGTACATAATCTAGCGTCGAAATTGATATTACTACATGTACATAATGACCATATCAACAAAAAAAGGATTTCAATCTCATTGTGTATTTTATGTTGGGCTCGTGTTGAGAGATTCAAAATTAGGAAACAGAGAGCGTTATTTTTCTTCTTCCTCACCAAAACCTATAAAAAGGAAAATTACTTCATTGATTTAGTTAGAGTAGGAAAAATATAAACTGGGAAATGTTTGTGGATAATTCCCAATTTATAGTTTACTTTTTGAGTGTGACATTTATTTAGTTATGAGTATCATCATACAATGAACTTCCATTTAGTCTTACACAGATGTGATGAGATGATGTTGTAACATTAGCAAATATCAATATAACCTTTTCTTAGAATGACAAGAATTTGACTTTTGGCAAAATAGTGATTTGGAAATTGAACGGATTGTGCACATCGGGTAAGTGATTGGGTTTACATTATTATTGGATTAGATATCGAGCCCGGCTATATTATGGGATTTGGGCCCATTAAGATGCTTATATCATGGGATTTTGGCCCAATAATATGCTTAAAGGGAAGCCTTCTTATGCGATGCCGTTTTGTCCACAACTCTACTTCTCTTGTCCGCCAAGACGGGAAGTCTGAGGAAAAGCATAAGAAGAGAAGAACCCAGGAAGAAGCAAACACATTGAAAACGAAGCAAAGATTCAGAAACTTAAAATGAGCTTGTAGAATAGATATGGAGGGTTCATCATCGTCTTCTTCGTCGCCTTCACTGATGTCCAAAGCGGATGGCGAGTTGGAGGAAATGCTCGATCGGATGGCGAGTTGGCGAGTCCAAATCGGATGGCGAGTTGGCGAATCCAAATCGGATGGCGAGTCGCCTTCACTGATGTACAAATCGGATGCTCGATCGGATCGACTCCAAGCTCGAAGCCCCAGTCTCGAAGCTCCCTCCCCTTACCATATCATCTCTCTCCTCCCAATCTCCCGCTGTTCGCAACAAGGCAATTTGCTCTTCTACTGAATTTAGTGTTTGATGATTTAAAATCAAAATCTTACGAGCAGGGATATATGTTAGATGAATCCTACTTTTTAAAGTTATAGAAATTATGGTGGATGTTTATAGGAATTCGTGATATCCAGTCTCAATGTTTGTTGATGTACCTTTTTTTTTTTTTGGCACAGGTTCTTGAGATATTGAGTCATGTAAACAAGAGAGTGAAGCACCAGCATGAAATTGGTTTGCCGTTGTTGGACTTATGGAAATTGTACACCGACCCTGCTGCTTCTCCTATGGTTAGGAATTTTGTATCGTGTATGTTGAGATGGCTTTTGAACGAGCTCCTGCTAAGGTTCGGTCATCTTGTTATTTGATCATCACGTTGTTGGAATTTGCATATGCTTGTAAATAGTGTAAATATTGCTAACCAAATTAGAGGACTGGTTCTTGTTCACTGTTATAGGAAAGAGAGGATATTGCACCTAAGACACTGGAGAATGTTTCGAAGCTTCCTCAGCAGCACCAGGAGATTGTTTTGAGATTTGTCATTAAGGTGGTCTCTCAGTCCTTCCTTTAGTGTGAAATTGGATACCTATTTTATCTCCACTTGTACGTCCTTTTTTCCTTTTTCTAAATCGTTATGCATTACTTAGATGACTAAGCCAATATGTTTTTTTTTTTTTTTT